TGCAAGCTGTGGGGAGGGCGAGGCAGGCAGCTCCTGCTTTCTCCAGCAGCACAGGGTGGGGTGGAGGTGAGGTGCCCCTTCTCCAGCCGGCTGACGACCCCCTTGCTGCCGCAGAGAGGTGGAGCGGGGCCACCCAGCGCAGGAGGTGCACAGAGGACACACAGTAATTACAGGGCTCAGACAGGCCTGGGAGGACAGAGCAGGACAGGCTCCCGCCCGCCCCCCCAGCCTGCTTCAACGCGAAGAATTCCTCCACTACACAGTCCTACCATAGCGTAACATACTGATCCTGCCCCCACTGCTGCCTGGGGGGGTGCGTGGCCACAGGCTCCCCAGCACCGCACACCCATGGCAGATGGGAAGGAAGGCCATCTCCTCCGCTCCAGTCAGTCACGGCCCCAGCTCGGACACGAGCCTGGGCACTGCCTCTGCTCCATGTGCTGGGGCCCGGGAGACTCTGTGCCTGGAATAGAAGCTCCTCTGAGCCCGTCTCACGCGTCCGACAAGCAGCTCTGGATGCGGTCGATCCACTGCTGGGCTAGCTGCACATCCTGGGCGCAGAAATTGTAAACTCTTTTTGTCGTCGTCAGCTGCAGGGGAGGAGAGAGGAGGTGAGCGGGGCTGGGTGGCTGCACCCGGCGAGCCAGCAGCACCGCAGCCCCTGGAGCCTGGTGCTGCCAGAGCAAACAGCTGGGCCCTGCAGGGGGGCCACGGGCTGCCGAGCTCCTTTCCCTAAGGTGCAGCTCTGTGCCACACTCACATCGAAGAAGGCTTTCTCATCTACCGTCTTGGGGGCCCCCATGGTGGGAGTTCCTGGGGTGATGGACTCCACCTCGGCCAGGTCAATGACCCCTTTGCACTCCGTGTCCATCCGGCTGTCGTAGTACCGCAGCTGCAGGGAGAGGTCCCGCATGCATCAGAGCTCATGGGAGGGAGGGACAGAAGGACAGACCCCGGGGCTCACCCGCCCCTCGCCGTGCCCTGCCCCTCAGTACCTGATGTTTGGTTTTATCCAGCACGAACCAGCGAGGCTTCCAGGGTTTCATGAAGGCTCCTTTCTTGTACAGCGACCCCTCGTAGGACCTGCAGGAGCCAGGCAGCGCGTTAGGGCAGAAAGGAGAGAGGGGCTGAAGGGCAGTTCGTTTGGTCCGTGGCACCCCAGCGTCAGCGGGGACGAGAAGTGACCGGGGTCCATGCCCTGCAGAACCCACACGCCTTCACCCCTCCCCAGGTAGGGATCCCCCCTCCCAGTGCCACCGGCAGCCCCCAG